TAATCCCGAATTTCAAAAATACACCTAATCCCAGTTTGGAAACTGGTTTAACTTAACCCAAACACAAATGATTTGAGGATCATGAGCTATACTAAATTATCTGTTTCAAAGTTTTCATATCCTTAATTACTTAGCCTGAATATGCAACAATTAGATTAATAGTCTTGTATACAGCCCTTATTAGTGTAAGACAAATAAATTTTAATATTATCTGTTCCTGTCCCTACTTAATTCATGGTCTAGAAGGAGACATGGTTGCATAAAAATAGCTATAAAAATGTGATAAATGCTATTAGGCATGTATAAAGTGTTATGAGAAAACAAAAAAGGAAATAAATTTAGGAATTGATACTACTAATATCAGACTACTACATAACTCCAGGTCTAGAACTGGGTACACAGTATGCTGCCTTTTGCATAAGAAAGGGTGGCAGTGAGCAGGATATGAACATACATAGTACATATTTTCTTATACTTTCAAAAAGAAATGCTGCAAGGATAGGCCAGAAACTAAAATGGCTACTAATAAGCAATGGGGTGGGAGACTGGGTTGGAGGGGACAGAATGAAAGGAAGACTTTTCTACAAATCTTTTCTTTTAAAAATACTGTTTTGCTTTTGCAAAAAATTTTACATATTTACAAAATAAATCAACAAACAGAAAAAAACAACTGGCCTTACCCCCTGTGCCATCAAAACAAAACAAAATTCAACAACAGTAACAAACCAGAAGCTTTTTAAGGAGATTCCTTCTGCAGTGTTCTTCAGGACCTGAGTCTCCAAGTCCTGGTACTGGAAGTCACAAGAGGCACATTATTTAAATGTGTCCAATGTAAACATACCTTCCCCCACAGAACTTCAAGATTACTCATGAAGCAGTAGTCTTCTGCAGAACACAGGGAGAGCCACTGCTTTGGTTTATAGCTTCATTCAATTCTACATATCTTTTGTGTCTTTTTCATCCTCCCCAAGTCACTGCAAGTTTTTCTTCTTACTTTCATCATTACTTCAAAGAACAGAATAAGTAAAATAAGTTCTGTATCTAGATATTGCTTCATAAGACTTTGGAATACAAAGAAGATCCCAAAAGGCCCTTCTAGTGTGAAGGCTTGAGTCTCTCCTTAGTTCTGGAAAATACCTATTCATCTATATCTTAACAATTCTCTTCCTTTTATTTTTTAAAATGACTTAAAAATTCAGATAAATTTCACCATTTTATCAATTTTAAAGTGTAAAATTCAGTGGCTTTTAGTATAAGCACAAGGTTGTACAACAATCATCACTAATTCCAGAACATGCTCATGACCGCAAAAAGAAACTCTATACCCATTAAGCAGTTACTCTCTTTTAAGTTCTCTTTTACTGAAGTGACGTTGAATCTTAATAGTGACTTTGAATTTCCTAGATTGTTCTTTTGTAGTTTGTAACTTTTTCTTCCTGTTTTTATCTTTTTGTGTTATATTCTGGGAGACTTTCTTGATTAAATTTTTTAGTCCTATTGAAAAAAATTTAAAATTTCAGTAACAGTTCAGTTTCAAAAAGCTTTTCTTAATATATTTCTGTTTCAAAATAGTTTACTGTTTCATTATTCTGAGTATATTAAAATAATCTCAAACATTTTCTTCTGTTCCTTAAATTCCCTTTTCTCTAGGACTAAGTTTTCTATTAATTCGTTCATTTTCTTTCATGCTGCTGGTTTTTCTCATTTGCTGAAAAGTCCTTGCTTGTCCATTCACATACAGTGCAGAAGAACAAGGGAAGTATCCTTTGTAAAAAGGAAATGCCAGAAGGATAAGCCATCAGCTAACTAAAATGATTACTAATAAGGGGTAGGGCAGGGCAGACTAGGGCAAGTGTTTTAGGGTGAGTAGAAGAAAAACCAAGCTAGAGGCTGCAGAACCCTGATTCTAGTATGAAAAAGACTTCTTTTGGAGAATCAACATCCATATTAGAAGCTCCTGCGTTCCCCAAACATTTTGTTCAATTTCTTTCTACAAGAACTATTTCACTTTCTAGAAGAACTACAGGGGGTGAAGTGCAGACTGCTTGAGTGGAGGTGGGGGTGGAAAGGAAGGTAGGAGTACAGTGAATTAGTGGAAACAGTTTCTTATTTAGTCATTCAATTAATTTTCCTTGTTTTCAGCCCCAGTTCTCACTTCTGATCATCTCTGTCCCAAGCCTTCTTTAGAAATCTGTTGAGCTGATCCAGTTCCTAGCTCACTGTACTAGGCTGCAGCTTCTTGGCTTGTTTTTTCCTTCAACCCACTCCCATCTACTTTCTAACTTCCAGAGGTTTCTGGAAGTTTCTTATTTGTTGGTGACCCAACATTGGTTTCTCTTTGGTACTTTTTATTTCAATGGACTCTCAAGAGAGATAGGATTCAAATGCTGATATCTACTCCACCATCTTGAACTTAGCACTTTCAAGGAAAGGGAAAGATCTGACTTTCTGTAGAAATTTTCAGACACGATAGGAGCAGTCAGTTATATTTTCACTCATCTTTTCAGAGTGCTGATCATCTATGAAGAAACAAAGTGACTATCTAGAGAAATACTAAGTACTTCTTTGATATTTAATCGACTTTTCATGATTATTGGTTTTTAACTTATTATATGTAGGATTTTCTATGTTCTGTTACTGCATGCTTTTGGGGTAGAATGCCACTGACTTCATTAGAGTTCCAAGGGCTCTATATCCTAAAAGAGGTCAAGATACCACAGAACTAAGGGAAATGTACTCTCTTAAATAGTGCTAGAGGGTAAAAATCCCCATTCCAGGATGCAATGTTTCAGATCTTAAATAGCAGGTGTTTAAATTACAGTAAAGTGTGAATAAATATATGTATTAGAGAAAGAGAGAGAGAGAGAGAGAGAGAGAGAGATGAGAGAGAAAGAGATGAGAGAGAAAGAGATGAGAGAGAAACAATGATCGCTGCCTCCTATTTGTGTGTGCACCAACCAGGGATCAAGCCCACAACCATTTGGTATACAGGTCAATGCTCCAACCAAGCCACCAGGCCAGGGCAAATTTGAAAGTAACTGTAAAGTTGTTAAAAAAACCCCAACTCAATCAATTAACAAATGAATGTATATATATATGCTCCAACCAAGCCACCAGGCCAGGGCAAGTTTGAAAGTAACTGTAAAGTTGTTAAAAAACCCCAACTCAATCAATTAACAAATGAATGTATAATATGTTGCAAAGTAGTGAGGTTTCTTTTAGGAATCCATCCAAATGCATTATGCAGTGGCTTAATAGAGAACAGAAAAACCTCACTTAGGGCTTTAGCTCTCAAGAGGTAGAGATGCCAGATAATTTCCCAACCTGCTGTTTGAATAGCTACTTGGACTATAGCTATTCAGCTACAATGTTCAGTTATATACTAGAAGATGCAGGGATTAAATTTTAGAAGACCTAGATGCTGAGTTAATATTGGGCCAAAAAGTAACAAAGAAGGGGAGGAACTGATGGATATATTAGCCAAGAGTGTCAGTGTCTCTACAAAAAGAAATGACAATAAGTTAATTCTTATTCTTTAAGACAGGTTTTGCTGAAGCTACCTACATGTCAACTTTTGGGTTCTGAGCAAATGACATGTGGTCATATGGCACTTTATATAATAGTTAAGGCAATTATTTCATAGGTATTTTAAAAATAAGCAAAAAGTTTAAAAACAGTAACACAGCAAGAATCATATACAGCTGTATATAATTATATATGATTTTAACCTCTCTTAATTATTAATATGTTAAAAATTGGAAAATAAAATTTTGTGTTCACTGTTGAAAAGAAAACATCAATGACACTTGTTAAAACATGGTAAAGAAGACTTTATTTAAGGGGGGAAGCTATTGAGATAGGTATGGGGATCACTGCAATGGAATTTTGCAGTGGGGGAGTGAGTTTGGGATCAACTCTGAATACTGCATGGACAAGTGGGAAATTATAGCCAAGAAGCAAGGTGGGAGTCTGTGGATGGAAAGTTACTAAGCAGAACACCAGAATAAGGGGGATTCTGGTTAAATTGACCTAACAATTCTTGTTGAAGACAGGCCAGAGTGATGAGACATCACCTGAAGGATAACTTGTAGGATATCTAGAGTGGGAAGTTCTCTTAAATTGGCTTAGGCAACATTCTTACTAAAACAAGAGTTTATAAGGAAGTGCACAGATGGGATTGGGAAAAGGTTCAGGAGACTAACTGAAGTGTGGTCAAGCAAAGAATCTTTGTCAGCATTTACAGAATTGTGTTGATACAATGGCCTCAATGGAGGTCAGCCACACAGTATATGTTATATGTATTATAGTAGTGCTTAAAATCTGAACTATACCATAGCCTTGGTTGAAATAATCTGAAGTGAAAGAAAGAAGCTAATGCTCATTAATGAATTAAACTCACACAGTTTTGCTTGATTCAATAAACTGAAGGTAAGCTTTTTTCTGATAACATCTTCAGGACAGGGAAACATTTTATTTATTTGTTTGTTTGTTTGTTTTTATTCCTCACCCAAAGATATTTTTCTACTTATTATCAGATAGAGTGGGAGAAAGAAAGAGAGAGAGACGGAGAGAAATATCGATATGATAGAGCCACATCAACTGGTTGCCTCCCACAGGACCTGACCAGGGCCGGAGATGAATCAAAACTGAGGTACCTGCCCTTGACCAGAATCAAACCAACAACTCATCGGTCCAAGGGCCAACACTCTAACTGCTGAGCCAAACTGGCCAGGGCCATAGGGAAACATTTAAAAATTAATGCTTACCATATAATTTTATATGTGTAAACTGTTTAGCTGACTGGGCTGAACTTCAGTACATGGGAAGATATGTATCTGAATAAACACTATTCACCTAATTTTATTTGCTCTGTTCATCTATTTCAACAGGCTTATCACCAGAAAGATTTCAGTTAATCAAAGGTTATAATTCATTGTTGTTTTACCATAAAATTTTATAAACTAAAAAAAAAACACAAAAAAACTCTCCCAATCACCTACCTAAGCGATGAAATCCAAAGGTGAATCTTTTGGTTGGTGATTTTGAAGACAGCCACAAAGCAAGCAGGGTCAATATGATAGCACTGAGGTCAGTTAACATATGAAGCGCATCGGTCATGATTGCTAGGCTATTTGCAATGTATCCACCTTTGGAAAGAAGGAATAAGTTAACTAAAGGAATAAGTTAACTAAAATAACAAATATAATAAAGCCCAAAATATGTAATATCCTACAAAACACGAGCTTCTAACTACATCTTTATCCTATTACAGTGAAATCAAGGTACCTGAAATCTTATGCAAAACATTAAATATGCATACATTAATTTAAAAATTAAAACATTAATTTTTCTAGTGAGAATGTCCATTTCTATGAAGAGATTCTCGGAGGAGTCAATGACCTTTAAAAAGTTAAGAACCACAAAACTGGGGGCTAACACATAAAGAGAAATTTTGTGTTTTAACAATGCAGCTTTTATTCAACCAACTAATTCTACTATTAGATAGTGAAATTAATAGCCACAAGATCTAAATATTACAATAAAACTAAATAAAAGGTAGATATTCACTTGTTTGGGAGGGTTTGAACCTGAAATTAAATAGAAAAAACTCATAAAATGTACCTTTAGTTCAAAACAAAAGACAAATATAACTTACTCATTTGAATACACACAGCAATGTCTCCTAATAGCGGGATAAAAGGTGGTATTTAGAATACATAATTTAAAATTTTATATTGATTTTTCCAGACATTTTATATATATGTATGTGTATATATACACTCACACATGTGTATGCATAATATATGTTGTTCCATTATGGTTATATAATTTTCCTAGCATCATTCATTAAATAAGCTTTTTATAATATAATACCGAGTATTCAAACTTTTCTGTGTATCAAAATCATTGGGAAGTTTTGTTAAATTGCAGATTGCTTGACCCCACTCTCAATTAAGTAGGTCTGGATGGGGCCTGAAAATTTACATTTCTAACATGTTACCAGGTGATGTTGATGCTTTGGTCTTGAACTACATTTTGAGAATCAGTTATAATGTATAATGGAACTTCATGATCAGGGTGTCCTGACATACTAATGCTCAAAAGCCACATATGTGCTGAGTTGCTGATCCCCCTATTTCTAGGATGGGTGTGCAGAGCTCAGAGCAGCAGAACTGGGGTTAGTGATCTTGTAGTCATATCCATTTACTCCAGTGTGCTCTATACAAGTATCATTTTTTATGTATTCCCTGACATGAAAAATATGGAAATAACTGAGAGAAAATAAAGCTTGGTAGTTAATAACATTGGGATTTGGAATCTCAGAGACTCTGAGTAAGTTACTTAACATTTTTGAGCCTTAGTTTACTAATCTATAAAATGAGGATAATAAAGCCACATTGTCCAACAGAACTTTCTGAGATGATAGAAATGTCCTATCTGCATTGTCCAATATAGTAGCCACTAGTCATATGTGGCTTTTGAGCATTTAAAATATGGCTAGTGCAACTGAGGAAGTGAATTTATTTTACTTGATTTTAATTAACCTAAATTTACAGAGCCACATGTTGGCCATCATCAGCAAAAATAGCAGAGTCAGGACCTCTGAAAATCATCTCCATGAAAGCAATAAGAACACGGGCAAAAATTATTCAAATCAGCTTATTTGGAACTCTGGAAATTAACCAAAGGCTATTACAGGAAGCATTGCTTCAAGGGAAATAGCTGAATCTTGGTAAGAATAGTGAGCTCGGTGGCATTTTAACTTGCCTTATATCCATTTCCCCCTCTCCAGCTTTTCAGTAACCTTGAAAACCAAAAAGCAGCAATCACAATGAAAACCTCAGTGTGAAAGCCACTGCAAGGGATAGAATGGGGCTGGAGCTCCTTAAAAGCCCCATTCCCAGAGCACTGTCTTTATTTGACCTGTCTGGTGGTTCCCTGGAAGACCAAACTTGCCAAGCTGTTTTTGTTTGACTTGACTTGGAGCTCTGCCCTGTGCAAAAACAATCAGAAGCAATAGATAACGATGTGTTCCCCATGTTCTGAAATTTCATAATGACGTACCCAATATGCTGGACTTCTGTTGACTCTTTTGAACTGGAAATGTATGCCCTTCAGTTCTGGGGACAGTCTCTCTCATTTTTTTAAATTGATTTCAGAGTGAGGAAGGGAGAGGGAGATAGAAACACTCACCTGCTGCCTCCTGCACAACCCCAACTGGGGATCAAGTCTGCAACCTGGGCATGTGCCCTGACTGGGAACTGAACCAGCAACCTCCTAGTGCATGGGACGAGGCTCAACCAACTGAGCAACACCAGCCGAGCCTGGGGACATTTCTTAAACTACGGCAATACTCCCTTGTCTGAAGGGGACACATTCTACATTCTATGACCCTCAGTGGATAGTAATGAACCTTATAATATACTATATTCCTATACATACATACCTATGATAAAGCATATCTGAATTGTTAGCATCACAACTCTTGCATTTTGGGGACATTTTTAAGTAAAGTAAGGGTTATTTGAACATAAACACTGTGATACCACAACAATCAAGGCTACTGACTATCAGGATAGGTAAGGTATAGAGTGTGGATATACTGGACAAAGGGATGATTAACATCTTGGGCAGGATAGAGGAGGACAGTGTGAGATTTCATCATGCTACTCAGAACATTGCATAATTGAAAACATATGAATTATTTTTGGAATTTTCCATTTAATATTTTTGGACTATGGTTGACCACGGGTAACTGAAACCGTGGAAAGTAAAACCGCAGATAAGCGGGGACTACTATATGTTGCTGAATTCTTTCCTTCTGCTTTCTCTGTTCTTCAAAGTCCTATTACTTGGAGTTTAGACTAATATACTAATTTTCTTGCCTATTTTCTCTATTATCCATATCTACTTTTTTGCTCTAGTCTGTCAAAGATCACCTTAGTTCATCTAACTTTCCTGTGGAGTTAAAAATTTTTAATGTTTTTATTGTTTAAAAGCTCTTTGTTTTTGTTTTATCCCGAGTTTCTTTTATAAAGCAGCCTGTTCTTGTTTCATGGATACATGATCTTCTCTCTCTGAATACTAATTATATTAGTATACTATTATATCTGACTCTGTCTTCAAACAGGTTTTAACTAAATTTCCTTATTTTAGCCTTCCTCTTTATCCACAATTCTAGGGGTATCTGGTGCAACCAATTCTGGGTCTACTTAGGATTCACTAGTATAGAGGTTCTCACTGGGGTCCCCAGACCAGCAGCATCAGCATCTGCTGTGGACTTGTTAGAAATGCAAATTCATGGGCCCGATCCCAGAACTACTTACATAGAAACTCTGGCCCAGTAATCTGTGTTTGAGTAAGTCCTCTATGTGTTTCTGATATATTAGGTTGATTTTTGGCTTTCCCTACTGCTTGCTTAGAAGTTGGCTTTGTTGGGTCTATTAAGTCAGTTACCTCCTATATCAGTTTCCTATCTAGTTTCTCAAATTTGTGTTGCTGTTGTCTCCTCTTCAGTTTTCCACATCTGTGTGGATATATAAATCCCTTTATTGTAGTTTAAGAGAGGCTTCAGGAGAGAGTACAGTTAGATGCATGAGTTCATTTGCCATCTTTACCTGGAGGTCTGGTTGCATTCACTTTTTTTTTTTTTTGGTACGTGCCCCTAGTGGGAACTGAACCCAGGACTCTCTGGACCACAGGCTGACGCTCCAACTGCTGAGCCAAACCAGCCAGGGCTGCATTCACTTTTTAATCTTTTTCACTTCCAATAAAAATGCAGCTGTTAAAGCAATCAATAACTCTGTTACTAAACCTCAAGGATATTTTAATTTTCATCTTATTATACTTCTTGCAGCTTCACCTTATTTACTGCCACTTTGAAATACTCTCTTTTCTTGGATTCTGGGATACCCGATGCCTTCTGCCTGATTTGTAAAGTTGGAGTTCCTCCAGACTTGGGCTCTCTAGGTGATTTTTTCCCATTCCCTTGGCATTACATACTATATCTGTACCTTGACCTCTCTTCTGAACTATAGACTCATATGCTCACTAGACATATTTACTTAGCTATTTCACATACATATGATAACATGTTTAAAACAACCATGTCTAAATCCAGCTCTGTATTTTCTACCTGCTGCACACATGATATACATTTCCATACACTTAGCTGCTCAGGTGAGAAACTCCAGAATCATTCCTAACTCTGTTCTTCCATCAACCTTCACATCCAAACCACTAGCCAAATTTGTGAACGTTACCTCTAGAATGTTTCTCAATTAGTAAGTACACTTTTCTCCATCCACTTTAGTCCAAGCCATAATCATCTCTTGTCTGGACCTCTGCAATAGTTTATTTGCTTCCATTCTTGCACCCTCCAATCCATTCTCCAAATAAGAGCCAGAGTAATCTTTTTAAAAAAGTAAATCCCATCATGCCACACTGCTTAAAAGCCTTCATTGCTAGAATAACTCCTACTATTCTTCCTTTTTTTTTTTTTTCCCAGTTTAACTGTACCTGGCTCATACTTAAACTATGTCTGTGGTTACTATGTCTTCTTATAGTTCCTTGTTCTTTTCCTTTGTAGCATTTAAGACCTTTTGAATTTTAAATTTACTTGTGTGTTTGGTTAATATCTGTCTTCCATTAAATGCTTCAGATAGTAGGGATCATAATAGTTTTGTTCTCCATTGTATATCCAGAACACACAGCACAGTGCCTGACATACAGTAAGTATTCAAAAAACACTTGGCTGAGTGGAAGGAAGAGTGGACCTTGTTTAAGGTCTCAGAGTAAGTTAGTGGCAAAGCCAAGATTCAAAATCATCTCCTCTTTCAGATCTTTAAGTTACTTCATTTTTAAAATCACTCTATGCTTACGCCCTGGCTGGTTTGGCTCAGCGGTTAGAACGTTGGCCTGCAGTCTGGAGAGACCCGGGTTTGGTCCCCGCTAAGGGCACGCACCTCAGTTGCAGTTTGTTCCTGGCCCTGGTTGGGTCATATGGGTGGCAACCACTCGATGTGTTCCTTTCACGTTGATGTTTCTCTCTCTCTCTCTCTCTCTCCCTCCTACTCTATCTGAACAAAAAACCCTCCTACTCTATCTGAACAAAATATATATATAAAAAAATGTCCTCGGGTGAGGATAAAAAAAATAAAAAAATAAAAAATTATGCTTATAAAAAATGCTTTATTTCTAAGTCCTTTTGACACACTTTAATAAGTGTTGTACTATATGCAATTTAATTCTATATAACATTCTAAACAATATTGTTAATGCCTATCCTAAGTACCAGCATCTCTGTGTTATTTAACCAAAAAATTTCGTATTTGAAAATAAAGTGAGTATATGAAAGGAAATGCTTATTGTGGCTTTCACAAAACATTTGCCAAATGAGAGATTTATAAAATGGTAAGTCAGGACAATTATATCTTAAGGCAAAATAAACTCTAAATTAATTTTATAGAGAAAAATTGTGACTAATGTGATTTTTAACTTCAAATACTAAATATTAACTTCAAAAATCACTAAGCCTGAATAACTCAATATTCAAGTTACATTATGTAAATTTGGGCAAGTCATCGAATCTTAGTCTGCTGACGCCATGCCTTATCTGACCACAGCTTCACTCTTGTCTTAATTTCTTTCTTCTTCTTTTTTTTTAATCCTCACTTGAGGACACTTTTCCATTTTTTGTTCAGATAAAGTGGGAGGGAGAGAGAAGAAGAGAGAAACATTGACATGAAAGGGACACATTGAGTGGCTGCCTCCCGCAGGGCCCTGACCCAACCAGGGCTGGGGACAAACTGCACCGAGACACGTGCCCTTAGTGGGAACCGAACCTGGGTCTCTCTGGACTACAGGCCGACGCTCACCGCTGAGCCAAACTGGCCAGGGCTTGTCTTTCAATTTCTTGACAGCTGAAGCACTTATAATTCTCTAACACAGTAAAACTTAATTCAACAAAAATTAAAGAGTGTCCACTCTGTGCCAATCATTATTCTAGGTGCTGGGAATTCAGTGGAGAAAGATAAGATATTAAACAAGTAAATATAAATATAAAACAAGGAAATATACAAAAAAGATAATCTCAGATATTGAGGGCTTTTTCTTTTATCCTTACCCGAGGACATTTTTGCATTTATCTTCAGATAGAGCGGGAGGGAGAGAGGGAGGAAGAAAGAGAGAAACACTGATGTGATGAACTGCAAACAAGGTACGTGCCCTTAGCGGGCACCAAACCCGAGACTCTCTGGTCCGTGGGCCAACGCTCTAACCGCTAAGCCAAATCAGCCAGGGCAGATGTTGAGGGCTTTTAAAGTTGTGGAGGGAACAGGGGAGAAGCAATGTTTACTTTAGTTAGAAAGGTCTTTCAGAGGTTATCTTTTGAGATGAGACATGAATAATAAGAAACCTGCCAAGAAAAGATTTGGGAAAAGGCAATCCATATAAAGCAGTGTTTTTCAAACTGCAGACCCTGCTCTACTTATGGATCATGACATCAATTAAGTGGGGTGTAACCATAATTTATAAAATTATTAGAAAACATCACATGACATAAAACTTGTTTCAGTTATACATATATTTATGTGTGTGTATGTGTATATATATATACACATATGTATGAAGCACACCTGCACAAGTCACAATATTAATTGTATTTCTTACTCTATTGATATAAAAATAAATTTGAGAGCCACTGAGATAGAGGGACCAGCCAGTACGAAGGCCATAAGGCAGGAAAGAGCTTTGTGAGTTGTAGGGAGAAAAATGGCCAGTTTTGCTGAAGTGAGCACTGGGGAGGAGTAGTATGAAATGAGGTAGGAAATGTATGTAATTTTCCTACATTTAATCTCCAACCAGCATGTTAAATTGGACTGCCACCTCTTTTCTCTTATCATGGTTCATCATTAAGAGACAACATGGGTGAACAAATGTTCCTGCTTTAATGTTACTTTGTAAACAGCCACTAAGCCAAGTTAGCAGTTACACCTATGTGACTGTGAAATTAGTCTCTAAACAAAGAATGTATTTTATAGTGAAAATGTATTACTTAAATAATTGAAAGATGAAAAATAAAACCAAGCCCTTGCTGGTTTAGCTCAATGGTTGGAACGCCGGCCTGAATACTGCGGGGTCGAGGGATTCCCAGTCAAGCACAGGTGCCTGGGTTGCAGGTTTGATCCCCCACCCTGGTCAAGTCGTGCAGGAGGCAACCAATCGATGTGTCTTTCTCACATCAATGTCTGTCTATCTGTCTGTCTGTCTATCTGTCTTCCCTTCCTTCCACTCTATCTAAGAATCAATGGGAAAATATCCTCGAGTTAGAATTTTAAAAAAACAAGAAAAGAGCCCTGGCCGGTTTGGCTCAGCGGTTAGAGCGTTGGCCCATGGACCAATGAGCCGCAGGTTTGATTCCAGTTAAGGGCATGTAACTTCGTTGCAGTTTGTCCCTGGCCCCAGTTGGGGTTGGGTGGGTGGCAACCACTCGATGTGTCTCTCTCAAGTTGATGTTTCTCTCTCTCTTCCTCCCCCTCTCCCTCCCGCTCTATCTGAAGATAAATGTAAAAATGTCCTCAGGTGAGGATAAAAAAAGAAAAATAAAACCAAATTCATTAACCCTGGGGGAACTATTTTCTAGTTCCTTTCAGATCCTCCTTATAATGAAAAACTTTCAGGTTAGTCAGTCATATTTAGTTTTGAAAATCTCTTGGATATAAATCAAATAGGAAACAGTATAAAGAGACCACATTAGTGAAAGGTATAGGGAAGAAAGTCGAGAGAGTGGGACTATAGATGTGACTTTTCCACTAAGCCACCCCATTTCCTCACAACTTATTTGAGCTCTCTGGTCCCTCAGATTCCCTTTGTGAGCACAAAGGAAGAGCCTGCAGGTGTTCGGGTCCCTTCATGCTGTAAAATGTTATGATTCTAAGTGACTTTACATTTACTATTACCAGGTTGCAAAAATTAACCTGGTATTTTATCACAATTCATTTTTTAAAAAAGAGAAAGTTACATGACATACAATGAAGATAAATAAAAAATTTATGTCCTGGCCAGTTTGGCTTAGCGGTTAGAGCCACGGCTGGTGGATCAGAGAGCCCCGGTTTGGTTGCCACTAAGGGCAGATACCTTGGTTGCAATTTGTCCCCGGCCGTTTGGGGTCGTGTGGGTGGCGACACTGGCTGTGTCACATCGATGTTTCTCTCTCTCTCTTACTCCCTCTGGCTCTGACTGAAGCTAAATGCAAAAATGTCCCCGGTGAGGATAAAAAAACAAAACAAAACAATAAATTTATGTTGTACTTAGAGGGATCTGCACTTTGGAACTGTGTGGATGGACTTTTCACATCACAAGAGATCAGGACTCTGATAAAGAGCAAGCTTCCTGAAAATAAAGTTTAAACCTCAAACCCCGCATAACTACAGCCTGACAAATGGAAATGGCAAGTGAGTTGGCAACACAACTCACCTACAAGTTCTCCAATCATGAAAAGCAAGTACAGAACGGCAGCAATGGTCAATCTGGTTTTCACCTTTCTCTGCTTCAGCAGCTCTCTCCGTCTGCTGCAGCTGTCACACGGGTCCACCTTCAGACTCAGCTGGCTGTTGGTCAAAGGCAAGTCCTGGTCCAGCAAGGAGTCGTCGTCGGCCTGGAGGGCCGGGTGCGCCCCGTTAACAGGCCTTTCCGGGGCTTCCGAGCCATCATCGGCCACCACAACTCGAAGTTTGTTAAACCGAGAAAGCCCCTCATCCCCCGCCTCGTCCGAGAAGTCAAAGGCGCTGGTGTCATTCAGAAACAGCGGCGCATCATCCTTCCTCAGCAGAGATTTGAGGCGCTTCCACGCGCCGGACCCGGCCATGGCAGAGGCTGCGCGGCCGCGCGCGGAACGGCTGGCTGCAGGCGGGCGGCCGGCGGCTCCGACTTCACTGGCGCGCCGGTTCCCGGTGGCACTGCCGCGCGTCCCTCCCCATCCTGTGGAAAACGAAACGTTAAATATTAAAGGCGCTCCATCAGAGCCCGCAAGTTCTGAAGCCCCGGGCAGCTGGCGGCGCAGGGCCAGCTCGGAGGCGCCGTGGCTCCGCGAGGGGGCGGCGCATGGATCTGGGGCGCCGCCGTGGGGCCGTCGCTCATCTCCCCGCCTCCGGTTGGCTCGGCGGGGCCAGCTCGCAAGGCTCGGCCCGGAGCCGTGGGGGAGCGGGCCGAGCTCTCCTGCAGCGCCCGCAGCTCCTGGCCGGCTCCGCGGGTCTGACAGGTTCGGGCGGCGCCCGTAACCACCGCCTCTCCCCGCCCTGCGCGAGACCGCGCGCGCGTGCGCCGCAGCGCCGCGGCCGAGGCGCGCGAGGGAGGGAGGGAGGGAGGGGGTCGACGCGGGGACACGCAGGCCGCAGCGCAGGGCTGAGGCGCCCCGAGGGGCAGGGCGGGGGAGGCCCCCGCCCCCGCATGGGTCCTGGCTGATGGACCCACATGCCCTGCACGGGGGTCACTCACAGTCCGGCACCGCCGCCGGTCTACTTCCCGTCGTTTGAGACAGATGTGGCCGGGGACTCGGGTCCGGGCTCGGTGGGCAGGGTCGAACGCCCCGCGCGGGGCTGGGAGTTCGCTCTACCCAGGGAGGGCCTCGGGAAATCTTCGGTCGGATCTTGGTTGCGGATCCTCGGCGGAAAACCAGCTTAGCCCTTTCTTGCGAAGTGGGAAGTCAGGCAGCTCTTCTCTCTAGAGTGGCTGCCTCTTTGAAAGTTGGCAAAATTTGCTGCACAGTCAGGTCCACTTAGAGAGGGCAAGCCTTATGATCGTCAGCAGTTCTGTGGCCTAATATATATTTATTAATTGTTTTTTCAGCAAATATGTGGTGTTCTCTGTGTGCTCACTCCATGTTCCTTGTGCCTCCAGGTATTCACAATATGGACTAAACCCAAGCACAGAAAATCTAGTAGCAGTATTTGTTCTGGCCTTTGGTTCTGTTTAACAAGTTAAAATTCATTAAGTTCTGAGACGAGGCTTCAAATTTAGGTCTAAGTTGTAATGGAACTCCATTCCCACCACCACGACCACCGTGATCCCCTGGATGAGTTTTAGGGATTTGGGAGGTCTTAAATTTTTGTGCAAAATTGTGTGGGTATATGTATTTTCTGGAGTAAATCCCATAGGCTTCATCATATTTTCAAATGGGGTTAAATCTTAAATAAGATTTAAAACAAGAAGAAGAAGACACTGTCGGGAGAAATCATTGTGTAGCTCAAGCCTCCTAACTTCTTGGAGTTGAATTATAGTGCAACTGCCTATTTATCCGGTGTTTATAAATGTTGTATTCTGACAACAGTCTGCATGGATCATCAAGTTTCAAGTTATAAAAAACTACAATAAAAAGTCATATGAAACATCATGTTCCTCCGAAGATTCAGATGACACTTTAGAATTTTGCATGTCTCAGGTGCAAGAGCACCAGCTGCTTTTGGATTACAGGACAGTCCCTCACTTTCGAAGGCCCGCAATGTTCTTGTTGAGCTGCAGTAATGGGAGTCAGGTTAGGAAGCCTGGATCAGAGATCCCATGGCTCCCAAGACCCAGAATAGTCCATAATCAGGACACTTAGGTCATTCTCAGCAGAAGGCAGAGAACTTACTGAAGATTGCTTTCCTAACAGTGGTTTGGGAGTAGGTTATTTGTTGTTTTTATTTATTATACTGCCTGAAATTCTACTAATGAGAGATACAAATGAATAAAGCAAATGTTCCAGGAGTGTGATAGCTCTCCTGTGTAAATTCTTCAAATGAGATTCCATTTAAAGAAAGGGGATAGATGTTTTGAAGAGAAGTTGAGGCAAGAGCATGGGTTTTGTTTTTGTTTTTAGTATTTAGAGTACTTTGTTGGGAAGTTCTGCAATCCAGTGTATTTGAACTATTTTGTATAACTGGGTACCTAAAGAAAGGGATGAGAGGATAACAAAAAACTCCATGGTGATTTTTTTTTTTTTTTTATCCTCACCCGAGGACATTTTTCAACATTTTGTTCAGATAGAGTGAGAGGGAGAGAGAGAGAGAGAGAAGCATCGACGCGAAAGCGACACATCGAGTGGTTGCCACCCACACGACCCAACCAAGGCTGGGGACAAACTGCAACCAAAGTACGTGCCCTTAGCAGGAACCTAACCCGGGTCTCTCCGGATCGCAGGCCGACGCTCTAACCGCTGAGCCAAACCGGCCAGGGCCTCCATGGTGATTTTAAGATACATTCAAAAGTTCTGTGGCCCTGGCCGGTTTGGCTCAGCGGTTAGAGCGCCCGCCTGCGGTCCGGAGAGACCCGGGTTCGGTTCCCGCTAAGGGCATGTACCTTGGTTGCAGTTTGTCCCCGGCCCTGGTTGGTCGTGCGGGTGGCAGCCACTCGATGTGTCCCTTTCACGTCGATGTTTCTCACTCTCTCTCTTCCTCTCTCTCCCTCCCACTCTGTCTGTACAAAAAATGGAAAAATGTCCTCAGGTGAGGATAAAAAAAAAAAAAAAAAAAAAGTTCCGTGATATGCTTCTCATCAAGAGGTGTAGCTTACTTCCCCCTCCCACTGAGTGTGGGCTGCTGTTAATGAATATCTTATAGGCCATAATGAATAGAATCTGGCAGGAGTGACAGTGTATGACTTACAAGACTAGGTCATAAAAGGGATTGCAGCTGCCTTCTTGTTCTTACTCTAGGATCACTTGTACTGAGGAAACCAGAGCTACCATGTCATGAAAAACTTGGGCAGCCCCATGGAAAGGCCCATGTGATGAAGAACTGAGGCCTCCTGCCAACAGCCATGTGAGTTAGCCATATTGAAGTCCCTAGTTAAGCCTTCAGATGACTGCATTCTGGGTGATGTTGACTGAAACGTCACCCTGAGCAGATTCTGAGCAGAACTGCCCCGGTCAGCCACTCCTAGATGACCCACAGAGATTGTGAGATAATAAATGTGTTTTTCAAAAAAATATGTCTTTATTGATATTTTTAGAGAGAGAAGAAGGGAAAGGGAGAGAGAAACATCAATGTGAGAAACATTGATTGGCTGCCTCCTGCATCCTCCCCACTGGGGATCATGCCCGAAAACCTGGAATATGCCCTGACTGGGAATAGAATGGGACCTCTCAATCCACTGAGCCACACTGTCTGGGCCAAATGTGTATCATTTTGATATGGTAAGTTTTGGGATATTTTTTTGCAATTATCTTCAGATAGAGCTGGAGGGGGAGAGAGGCAAAGAGAGAGAGAGAAACATCAATGTGAGAGAGACACATCGACTGGTTGCTACCAGCACAACCCCAACCGGGGCCGGAGACGAACTTCAACTGAGGTACTTCGTGGGAACCGAACCCAGGACTCTCTGGTCTGTGGGCCAATGCTCTAACCACTGAGCAAAATTGGCCAGGTCTGGGGTGATTTTTTACAGAGCAGTAGATAACTAATATACTGTATATCAACATTCCTTTGTACCAAAAAAGATATTTTTCTTACTCTTTAATCACATGGACTCTTGTTCCCGGGCCTGCCCTTGGGTAAGTTGCATGGTTTTCATCATTGAGCTTTAAAATAGGCTAAATAAATAGACTTCTGTGAATAGTCTTGGAATGTCACCACTATTTGCAACCTTATATCTATGTATTCAGAGTTTATAACAATAGACAAATGAACTTTTGAAATTATAACCATTTATAATCTGGATATGCCTGCAGTTCTGCTAGCTATTGCTCAGGACAACCTTCTTTCTGAAGAGACTTCATATTTCTTTCTAGTACGAAGAGCTTTTTTGCATGGGCAAATGAAAAAGGTTGCCAACCATTTAATCCATCTCTTAACCAAGTAACCTATAATATATAGATTGTTTAGGCAATAGCAGAGGCCTGTCAGTTCAATTGTAAGACACATACCCCAGGGCAATTAACTGTAATAAATGCAAAGTATCCTATGTCAAAACTTGTTTTCTAGCCCAGATATCTCTGGGAACAAATGACAGTGCTAAAAATTATGCTCCAGTTAACATTTACTTAAGGCTTGTTTATGTGCAAGCCTATGCAGAGACCCTGATTTATATTAGCTCATTGAATCATTACAACCTCACTATGAAGCATGGGTCTTAGAATCAGACCGCTTGTGTTTGAATCCTGATTTCAACATTTATAGCCATATTATCTCTGACAAACTATTTAACCTCTTTGTGCTTCAATTTTCTTACCTATTAAATGGTGACAATAGCACTCACTTTACAAGGGCCATGGTTAGGATTAAATGAGATAATGTATGTAAAGTGTGTAAAACTTAGCATACATAGTTCTTAGCAAATAGTATGGGCTCAATCAATGCCAGCTATTACTATTTTTTAAAGTAGATAAAGACACACGGTCTCAGGGATATTAAGTAATTTGGCCAGTGTTGTGCAGCTAGCAAACAGCAGGAACTCAATTTCAGATCAGTTTGGTTTTAGAACTAAAGCTCTTAACCATTACTTTATAACCTCCATACTGGTTTCTGTGGCTGCACCCATCTGCATTCCCACCGAAAGTGCATGAGAATTCCCCTTTCTCCCCATCTTCACCAACCCTTATTGTTTGTGGATATATTGATGATAGCCATTCTGATAGGTGTGGGGGTGATATCTCATTGTGGTTTTAATTTGCATCTCTGTGATGATTAGTGAGGTTGAGCATCTTTTCATATGTCTATTGGCCATCTTTGGCAAAGTGTCCTCTTTGGAGAAGTGTCTATTCAGGTCCTCTGCCCATTTTTAATTGAATTGTTGTGCATTTTGGTGTTGAGCAGTATGAGTTTTTTAGATAAATTTTGGATAGTAACCTCTTATTAGATGTACCATTGGCTAATATCTTCTTCCATTCAGTAGGTTGTCATTTTATTTTGTTGATGGTTTCCTTTGCTGTGCAAAAACTTTTTAGTTTGATGTAGTCCCATTTATTTATTTTCTTTTATTTCCCTTGCCCAAGGAGATATATCAGAAAAAGTATTGCTAAGAAAGATGTCATAGGTTTTACTGCCTATGTTTTCTTCTAGGAGTTTTATGGTTTCAATTCTTACATTTAAGTCTTTAATCCATTTTGAGT